TGTGTGTGTGTCTGTGTGTGTGTGTGTGTCAGTGTAACGTGAGCGCGGGACACTGATGGAGCCTGTGCCAGCTGCTCAGACTGTGGTTCCACCTGACAGTGCCCAGTCTCGGCGCTCTCGCTTTAATTGGCTTTTTCCTGTGGAGCTGCCGGTGCTGCCGAGGCATTTACACAATGAGCCAGATAAGAGTGAAAGGAAGCCGCCTCTTTACCCACCAATATTCAATTGGAAGCAATTTATTTTGTGCTGTTTCGCCCTCCCCGTAGCATTGGCGCTCCCCCCTCCCTCTCCTCCCCCTCCTCTCCCTCCTCTCTCTCCTCATCCCCCTCTCCCTCTTCCTCCTCCTCCTCCTCTTCCTCGTAGCGTTAATGAGGCTGCTTGATAATGATCTGGGCGCGCTCAGTGGGGACGTCCCTGCCTCCGCTCCACACTCTCTCGCTCCTTCACGCTCTCGTTATGGCCTCCGTCTCTCTTCTCCTCCGTTCGCCTGCGCTGCTTTATCCTCCTCTTTGTTTCTCACAGTACAAACATGCAGCTAGCAGGAGGAATGCTAATGCCGCTCCATGGGTCCTCGGTGATGTAATGAACTGGCTAATGCTAACGCTAAAGCCGCTGTTGTGTTTGGAGTGAGCCCGAAGGCAGATCTCCCAATGTGGAACAAACACGGCCCATACTTCCTGGTCTCAGCGATGTCCCTCGTGTCTGCTCTTCGTTATCTCATTGGCTGTTGTTAAAGATCCTATTTTACCTGTAACAGACTCTTTTGAGCTTCAAGCCTTGTTAGAATATGATTACCTCCTCAAAAACAGACCTGGAGTTGTTTTGTTTTGTTCACACACGTTTGAGTAACTCTTTATTATAAGTCAGTCCATAATCCATAGAAGCATTTCCTCCACTGCCTCCAGAGTTCAGAAGTAAATCTGACCCTGCTCTGCTCAGACATTATTATTAAAACATTTATAATTTCATTCTGTGAGTCCTCCAGGCGTTTCATAAATTTGTATACCACCTTTATGATCACAGCTTTCAACGTAGGGTCATTATTCTGCACAAACAGCAAACTGGCACTTGTCCATCGAGGGACTTTCATCAGGATACAAAGTGCATCATTATATCCAACCTTTCACCTTTTGTTCAGTAGAGATTGGAAATTCTAGGGTTGAAATGATCCACATGATTCTAGTGAAGGTGTATGAAGTTTAAAAGCACAACGGAGCACTTCCTGTATCACCACATGACATCACGAGGTGGAGTGTTTTCAGTTTGAGAGAAGAACTCAGCCTAAATGTGCAGGTTTGTCTGTTAAACATGTGTGAATGAAACAAAACATGACAAAAAGTGACATTAGAGCACAGATCAGAAAACAGCCAAAGGTTTAATCTGTCAGAAAATGTGTTCCTTGTTCATATTGTCTCTGCGTTTTCGATGAAATTTTCCATGTTGATGACACAAGTAGAGAGAGTCCATTCTAGAACTGACCGCATTTTCTTCGATTTTTTTTTTCCCCCCACAAACTGCTGCTTAAATATTTACCACAGATACTATCCCACTAAAGTCAGAATCAGAAAGCCTATGGATATATGTTTGAGTCTTTATTATCAAATAAATGTCATGCCATTCAGAAATACATTTCTTGGTCCAGAAACAAATATAACGACATTCACAAATATAATTCATGACTTACAAATAAATGTAACGGCATTCACCAAAGGAATGGTGTGCAGTAAGAGGCTCTTCACTGCTGCACTACGACATTACCCAGAGTGTTTAGTAACACATTATGACTTGGTCATTGCTGTTCTGGTAACAACAAACTTATAACAGGAGCTGTGACTAAAGGGATTAAACAAAAGCACAAAAGTGCTTTGAAGAGTCATGGATGTATAGAACTATGAAGCTATTAAAATAGTGAACTGACTCGTCTGCATTGCAGTCAAAATGACAGGACCTGGATGGTCATTTTCCCTTTCAAGTTCTGTCATGAATAAAGGACTTTATGTAGTGTTGTCAACCATAAACCATACGTTCGAACTTCAGTTGATGTGATTGGCTGTTAAAAAAAATAAATAAAAATGTATGTGCATGGAACAGTGTCAGGAAGGTCTCAAAAACCCACAAATAAATGCAGGACTCGTCACAAATCTGTGTGGTGGTTTGTAAATGCAGGATCATTGGTTTGCAGATGTAACTGTGTTGACATCTGTGCATCGTAATAACATTTTCTTTTGAGTTGAGAAATGCTTTTGTGAATGTTGTTACATTTGTTTTGGGACCAAGAAATGTATTTGTGAATGTTGTGACATTTATTTGATAATGAAGACACTAAACTATCGCCACAGAAAACTTGTCATGTGCACTTTAAGGCTCAGAGGCCGATTTGCACTTTTCAGCCATCTACAAATCCATGAGCAGGGTATATGGTACGTTCTCAGTGGATTAGCTGCTCCTGTCAGACATTGATGGTTGGTGCACAACTTTTTACAGTTTTGTTTCAATATGAAGCTGTTAAACACGTTACAATTCAAATATAGATTCTACTGAGAACAATTGTTCTGTTAATTTATTCAGAATGAAATACAGTTTTTGTTTTCTCGAACTGATGAATGGCGTCCCAGGAGCGGCTGTGACTCAGGAGCACATCTTTAAAAGGCCTATATCTGACCTATAACCTTGAGGGAGAAACATGTTTGAGTGTGAACTGTAGTCCTGCTCACTCAGTCCTTTCTACCTGTTTGATATTGCACCATGACACTGGGACAGTCTCTGGAGCTGTTTCCCACAGTTCTCAACGATTTCTACTCTCTTAGTGTTGTATTCTTGAAAATGGACCATGACAGAGAATCAACAGTTTGGTGAAGTGAGTGATCCTGTCTGTAGGGCTGACAAAAGTATCAAAAATCAGATACCGCTTTATGCGAGCCGTAAAGATGCTTAAACTTTAGTACTGAGTAGATCCTTATTTGAGCAACTATTAAAACTAAATAGTCCCATTTACAGGATGGAAATGAACCTTTCCTGAATAGAATAGAATGGCACTGAGTTGTATCAGAACAAGTATACAAGCACATAGACTAATATACACACACATGGACCAACATGAACCTACTGCACCACTGAGGATTACACACACATAAGACACATGGGAATAGAAAGTACTACCATTTAATGTTGAAAATTGGCAGTATGAGTATTGAAACTAAGTTTGGATGTTAGTATCGTGACAGCACTACCTGTCAGGAGCGTCTCTGTGGCTTTTATCCAACAAAATGAAAGATGTAACCTATGCATTTTACAGAGCAGAAGTTACAGTACACTGCATAATTTACCTCAACCAGAAGAAATGTAAGACGCTGTGGTTCTGGACAGGGTTTTGTTTTCTCATGCTCTTTGCAGGGCCCTGACCCTCTGTTTGAGAACCTTTGAAATCTGATTTGGTCTTGAAGCTAGAGCCTGTATTGAATGAATGGTCTGAGCTGTGTGTGTGTCTTTGTGTGTGTGTGTGTGTGTGTGTGTGTATGTGTGTATGTGTGTGGGGTGCAGTAACTAGATTAGTTCCTGTTTGGAGAGCCAGTTGATGGATGTGCTAAGTGTTATTTAACCTTGTTTTGGAGCACTTGCTTCCCTCTGGTCTGAGTGGCCATTTAACTGGTGTCTATCTGCCTCGCTCTGGCAGCTCAGCACAGGCGGCAGTGTGTGTGTGTGTGTGTGTGTGTGTGTGTGTGTGTATGTGTGTATGCACGCTCTGTCTCGCTCTGTGCGTGTATTTGTGTAGGCTAACAGCATGTCTTTAAAGGGGCATGTCTTTAGAGGGGAGGGGCAGGGTGGTGCTGTGGTCTGGTGATGTTGAAACGTCAGGTTTGAAGTGAATGCCTGATTCACTGAGAGTTACTCAAGTACAGCCATTTAGCTCACACTGGTATTCATAATAAACATGAGTGTCAGCTCTGACAGACAGCTCCACACTTCAAAGTGAGGCCACTGAGCTGAAAACATGTCACCTCACCTTTTCCACCATGTTAGAGAAGAAATACCTGTAATGTTCCCCTGCACCAAAGACTACTTTGTACTTTGTCATTTAAAGTGTAAGTCTAAAGCCTAAGCATCTTTAAGGGTCACATAATGCTGCGTTCAGATCACAGTGTCCGGGGCGGCTGGTTTACACTGACTCAACGTTTCCCTGCACTATTCAAAGCAAAGACGTCCAACTAGACGGCGTCTGAACGGATTTTGTCGCTGCAGTCTGAACGCAGCATTACACGATCTCATGTTTTAGAATCCACCAACTCTAAGATACAGCCTCATGACTGGAGTGGACCTGCCTCAGTCTGACCCAGTATCTGCAGTACACCAGTGCAGTATCTGCAGTACACCAGTGCAGTATCTGCAGTACACCAGTGCAGTATCTACAGTACACCAGTGCAGTATCTTGCGGTACACCAGTGCAGTATCTGCAGTACCAGTCAGTACAGTGCAGTATCTCAGTACACCAGTGCAGTATCTGCAGTACACCAGTGCAGTATCTGCAGTACACCAGTGCAGTATCTGCAGTACACCAGTGCAGTATCTGCAGTACACCAGTGCAGTATTTGCGGTACACCAGTGCAGTATCTGCAGTACACCAGTGCAGTACCAGTGCAGTATCTCCGGTACACCAGTGCAGTATCTCCGGTACACCAGTGCAGTATCTGCAGTACACCAGTGCAGTATCTGCAGTACACCAGTGCAGTATCTGCAGTACACCAGTGCAGTATCTGCAGTACTCCAGTGCAGTATCTGCAGTACACCAGTGCAGTATCTGCAGTACACCAGTGCAGTATCTGCAGTACACCAGTGCAGTATCTGCAGTACTCCAGTGCAGTATCTGCAGTACTCCAGTGCAGTATCTGCAGTACTCCAGTGCAGTATCTGCAGTACTCCAGTGCAGTATCTGCAGTACTCCAGTGCAGTCTGTGGAGCTTTTCCCAGCCGACCCACTTGTCCTCCTCTTGTCTTGTCTCCAGCAGCAGCAGCTCCAGGCGCAGCACTTGTCCCACGCTGCCCACGGCCCCCCGGTGCAGCTGCCCCCTCACCCCTCTGGACTGCAGCCCCCCGGCCTGCCCCCTGTCACTGGGGCGGGCTCCGGCCTGCTGGCCCTCGGAGCTCTGGGCAGCCAGGCCCACCTGCCAGTGAAGGACGAGAAGAACCACCACGACCTGGAGCACAGAGGTGAGTGTGGGCACAGGGCACAGGGGTGAGTGTGGGCACAGGGCACAGGGGTGAGTGTGGGCACAGGGCACAGGGGTGAGTGTGGGCACAGGGCACAGGGGTGAGTGTGGGCACAGGGCACAGGGGTGAGTGTGGGCACAGGGCACAGGGGTGAGTGTGGGCACAGGGCACAGGGATGAGTGTGGGCACAGGGCACAGGGGTGAGTCAGACAGGAGCATCCTGGTCACTGTGCTCTAACACTCATTTCTTGAGCTTTGTCATGTGTTCAACAATATTTACTAGTGAAAATGTTTAAGAATTAACCTTTATAAAGAAATGATCACTTTTGGGGATGCACCAATACCACTTTTTTTTGAAGTACTTCATTTTGAGTACTTGGCCATACTGATACCAGACATTATTTTTACAGGAGTCTTTCACAGTGCTGAATTTTTTATTTATTTATTTTTTGAATACTTATTTGTTTAAAATATCTGCTAAACTCACTTTAGTTGGGCATAATTGCAGCATCATTTAGAGAAGTTTCACACTAACTTCTAAGGAACCACTTTTAGTGTAAACAGTGACTGACTTTAAGTGGTGCCACACCAACTAAACCTGTGACCCTGCTCTGTTCAGACGTCAGCGTTTGTCTGTTACTTTTAGTCTCAGTGTAGCACAAGTAGAAGCACATAGAAATGTTAGAATGCTACTGTGCTGATGTCATCTGGAACTATAAAAGTACTACAGATTTTTATCGGTGCATCCCTTGTTTTTTGTTTTTTTTTTCGTGATCAAACGTTGTCTTTGAAGCAGCCTCCAGACGTGGACGTGCAGAAGAGCTGACTCAGACTAACTCATGTTTCTCTCTCTCTGTCTCTCTCTGTCTCTCTCTGCGGGCCCCTCATCGCTCCACTCACCTCTGACCCTCGCCCTGAAAGAACGAGAATCCAGCACGGTATGTCCACTCTCTCTTCTCTTTCTCTGTCCGTTCTCCCTCTTTCTCAATCTTTTTATCTCTCCTCTCTCCTCACACTCTAGTCCTCTCTCTTCCACTCCTACCCCTCCTCTCTCTCCTCTCCTCTCTCTTCACACTTTCCTCCTCTCTCTTCCATACCCCCTCTCTTCTCTCTCTTCTCTCTCTCTCCTCTCTTCGCACTCTTCTCTCTCTCTCCTCTCTTCGCACTCTTCTCTCTCTTCCATTTCTCCCTCTCTCTTCACATGCTTCTCCTCTCCTGTCTCCTGTCCTCTCTCCTCTCCCCTCTCCTCTCCTCCCCTCTCTCCTCCTCTCTTCTCTCCTCTCCTCTCTCCTCTCCTTTCTTCTCGCTTTCCTCTCCCCTCTCTCCTCTTTCCGCTGTCCTCTCCTCTCTTCATTCTCCTCTCTCTTCACATTCTTCTCTCTCTCCTCTCCTTTCTTGTCACTCTCCTCTCCCCTCTCTTTCCTCTCCCCTCTTTTTCCTCTCTCCTCTCCTCTCCTCTCCTCTTCTCTCTCCTCTCCTCCCCTCCTCTCTCCTCTCCCCTTGGTCTTCTCTCCTCTCTCCTCTCCTCTTCTCTCTCCTCCCTCCCTCCTCCTCTCCTCTCCTCTCCTCCCCTCCTCTCTCCTCTCCTCTTCTCTCTCTCTCCTCCCTCCCTCCTCCTCTCCTCTCCTCCTCTCTCTCCTCCTCTCTCCTCTCTTCTCTCCTCTCCTCTCCTCTTCTCTTCTCTCTCTTCTCCTCTCCCCTCTCTCCTCTCCTTTCTTGTCGCTCTCCTCTTTCCTCTCTCCCCTCCTCTCTCCTCTCTCCTCCCTTCTCCTCTCTCCTCCCTCTCTCTCCGGTGGCGGCGCACTGATGGGTGTACTTTACATAGGGCTAATCCTCGGCGGCCGTACAGATTCATGCTCGTCTTGTCTGAACACACAGGTTTTTGTCCTCTGGGGAGAGTGGGCCGACTCAGATCAAATAATGAAGTCTCGCCAAATAAGCCAGTGCCGTGTAATCCAGGTGCAGACTGACCCCGAGCGCTAGGCCCGGATTAGCCGCCAGCTCCAGCCTCCTTTCATTTCAGCACAATTAAAAACGACTTTGACTTTCATTCCTCTTTGCCACTGCGGAATCTCTTTATCTTCTCTCATCTTCCATTTCTCCCTCGCTCATGTTCCAGTCTCTCTCTCTCTCTTTGTCTTTCTCTATGTCTCTCTCTTCTCTTTCTCTGTCTGTGTCTCTCTCTCCTCTCTCTCTTGACTTCCATTCTTCTTTACTGTCACAGATTGTCTTCCATCTCTCCCTCGCTCATGTTTGAGTCTCTCTTTGTCTCTTTCCTTCTCTCTCTGTCCATCCCTGCATCTCTCTCTCTCTCTTTCTGTTTGTGTCTCTCTCTTAACTTTCATTCCTCTTTTCCTGTCACGGATTTTCTATATCTTGACCCTCACTTATGCTCATGTCACTCTCTTCTGTCTCTCTCTTTCCCTGTATTTCTCTCTCTCTTCTTCTCTCCATCTCACTTTCTTTCTTTCTGCCTGTGCCTCTCTCTCTCCTCTCTCTCTTGACTCTTTCCTTTCTGCTGTCACAGACTCTTCATCCCTTCTTATCTTCCATCTCTCCCTCGCTCATGCTCTTGTCTCTTTCCTTCTCTCTCTCTCCCTCTCTCCCTCCATCTCTCTCTCTTTCTGTTTGTGTCTCTCTCTTAACTTCCATTCCTCTTTTCCTGTCACAGATTTTCTATATCTTGATCTTCTGTCTCTCCCTCACTTATGTTCATATCACTCTCTCTCTTCTGTGTCTCTCTCTCTCTTTCCCGCTCTCTCTCTTTCTGTCTGTGCCTCTCTCTCCGCTCTTTCCTCTTTGCCGTCAAAGACTCTCTTCATGTCTCCTTATCTTCCTCCCTCTCCCTCACTTATGTAAGTGTCACTCTCTTCCCTGTCTCTCTGTCTTTCTCTTTCTCCTTTTTTTCCTCTTTGCCATCGCAGACTCTCTCCTCCTCTCTCCTCCTCTCTCCTGCTCTCTCCTTCTCTCTCCTCCTCCTCTCTCCTCTCTCTCCTCCTCTCTCCTCCTCTCTCCTGCTCTCTCCCTTCTCTCTCCTCTCTCTCCTCTCTCTCCTCTCTCTCCTCCTCTGCTCCACCTCTCTCCTCCTCTCTCTCCTCCTCTCTCCTCCTCTCTCCTCCTCTCTCTCCTCTCTCTCCTCTCTCCTTCTCTCTCTCCTCCTCTCTCCTCTCTCTTCTCCTTGCTCCACCTCTCTCCTCTCTCTCCTCTCTCTCCTCCTCTCCTCCTCTCTCTCTCTCTCTCTCTCCTCTCTCTCTCTCTCTCTCTCTCTCTCTCCTCCTCTCTCCTCTCTCTCCTCTCTCTCCTCCTTGCTCCACCTCTCTCCTCTCTCTCCTGCTCTCTCCTCTCTCTCCTCTCTCTCTCCTCCTCTCTCCTCTCTCTCCTGCTCTCTCCTCTCTCTCCTCCTCTCTCCTCTCTCTCTCTCTCTCTCTCTCTCTCTCTCTCCTCTCTCTCCTCCTCTGCTCTCTACCTCTCTCCTCTCTCTCCTCTCTCTCTCCTCTCTCTCCTCTCTCTCCTCTCCTGCTCTCTCCTTATCTCCCGCGTGTCCGTCGCTCGTCTTGCGTTTATTGGCCGCTCTCGGTCTTGGATGACGGGTCGGCGCGCTCGGGTTTGGCGCGGCACAGATTTGCGTTCTCATTGAGCGCTCGTCCTGAAAGACTCCACTCATGTCTGAAAGCAATCCACACCGTGCGCTTCAGCCGTCTGCCGACCGCCGCGCTGACAACACGCGGACTACCTGATCTCCCTGACTCCCTCGCGCTCCCAGGTCACCCGATACGGCGCGCGGGTCTGAGCCGCCGGAGAGGTCAGATCGGTGTTCAGATAATGGTTTGTTTACTGGAAGCTCCACACACGCAGCGCACAGAAAAAAGAACAACAGTGTATCTGGAAGTAAGTGGGTGATTTCTGTGGCAGATACGAGCTCACATCTTTTTCCCGAGAATCATAAACGGCTAAACGAATCCAAGAATCCTTTGTGCCGCAGAACAGGTTTGTCGAGGCGTAAACTACAGGCTTAGCAAATTAAACGACCTAGGACAGTTTAGAATACTCACTGTACTAAAACACACTTAACCCTTTAAGAACAAAGGGCAGTTTTAGTACATTTGTCCTCGCCTTAATTTCTTTCTTAATTTTGCTGTTAAAACTGTCCTGCTTACCTCTTAATGAAGTGTTACACATCCTTTATTTTTATTTTATTTTTTTTTTAGTACAATCTGTTATTTCATAATCTGCTGCTGTAGTTGTGTCATATGGCTGTAATAAAAGCTCCAGGACCAGACAAAACAAAACAGAAAATAAAATAAAATTCACACTCTTTTATACAAAACACACAGCAAACCTGTGTAAACAACTATTTGGACATAAAAAATGCTTAATTTTGGGCCTTAGCTACAAAAGTACAAAATATCAAGTGTAAATAAAGTCAGAATCTCCTTATTGCCTCAAAACAAAACATAAAAAAAAGTGCAATGGTCCCATGACTTTCCTGGTGTCAGTCAAACAGCTGGTGTCAGGTCCAGGACACAGAGCCACATCACTTCCTGTATTTCCATGGGCTTTATGACATTTGGATTTGGACATTTGAACTGAAATAAACCTGAAAATAAAAATAACAAGAGATGCACAATTACACAGACCAAGATGCGTAATTTGCGATTTATTTGAGAAATATCTGCACTTAGAGCGACTTTTTCAATTGTTACGAACGCAGACGCTCAGAGCATCGACCATTTTGACTCACTACACTCTTTGGTAAAGTTTGGACCAATCAAAATGGATGGAGCGACTGAGTCTG